AAGAATAATTACTTTTCATTATGCTCAATTAAATTATCCATCCAAATCCATCGAATAAAATAATAAAAAAAAGGTAAACACGAGTAGCAGCAGCAAACCAACAAACAAAAACACAAACCCTAACCTTAACCTATAAAAAGTAATTCTATATTTAATCCTAATTAGAAATTTTTTCTTTTCGTCAATTAAAATTCTGCAATCCACGCATATTCAACGATTCCTTGTATTTTTGGTAGATTACCTCGTCACGACTAGTTCTCACCAAATCGCTTATTAACTCCACGCAAGTTTTTATATCAGGTCGTACGTGTGACAAAACGGGTTTGCGAAGTATACATTTTGCGAGATAAAGTGAGGAAGAAGCAATAACCGATGGTAAATAATCGATGAATTGCTCGAATATCAGCGTGTGTTCCATTAAAAATCGTGCCAACGCCAATGTTCTAGAATCCAATAACCCATTACTAGATTCGAATTTCAAGAATCCTTCTGCGGTCGGAGTCCAAAATCGCCAAAAAATAGCCTTACAAACATGTTTTTCCATCTGTGTAAAAAATTCTCGCGGGTATCCTTTACCACACAAATGTACCAATCGATCTATAGTTGGGACTTTGTCGCGTGTCTCGAGATATTTTATGGCAATCCAAAGACCGGTGATCGCAACCAATTGTAAATGTTTGTTATCAACTCGTGCTACCGACAAGTATTGATCTAGTATATTGATTGCGAGGTACAATGATTCTTCGCTTAGTTTGTTTCCTTCGCTGAAATAAACATGCACCTCAATGATCCAACGGATCACTCGTCTTCGCATGTCCCATGTGATCTCTGGTTGTTCCGCGATCATATCTGATCTTGGCATACATTGAACTTCTTGTTCACGCATGATTTTCTCGGTTTCGTCATCCTCATCCTCATCTGTTTCAAGCCAAATTGAATTATCAAAACGGCATTTTACAACACGATTACGACCGTTATTTGGTGATATTAATGAAGACATGGGGGATGCGGCGTTAATAGATGCATCTATTAAGTAATTTGTCGTTAATGGAGTAGTTGGTTGAATGTAAGTATTAGATGTAACAGCAATAGTATTCATGACTCGTGAAGAAAACGTGGCATAATATTCTTTATTCTCTTTGTCTGGATCCGGCGAGTAGGCAGTGGAAGTCGAGGATGGACATTCCACAAGTTCGTCGACCAACGTCTCAAGGTCATCATCATAGTTGTTTTCTTCATCAAAATTCTCTTCGAAGATATTCTCATTATCATAGTTTTGATAGTAATTAGATTTATACGAAACGTCCGTTAGACGCGTCTCGGAATTATTTTTATTTTGTAGTTCATGTAGTATCGTTTCTTTAGGAGTGTGCAATTCTGCTGCTGCTACCGAGTACATTTTTTATTCTTTTTTTTGTAAAAAAAAACGCGTTATTGTTATAAATTTGGCTTGTGGTATTGAGTTTGAAAAGTTTTAACTACTA